CGTTTTCAGAAGAACAAGGATTGTCGTTCTTCTTTCCCTTCCAGCCACTGTGGTTACTATTGTTAGTAGCTTTTTGTTTTGCGAGGTCATCTTCAATTTCAATTCCGATGTCATAAAAGGCTTTGAAAGTATTCAAATTATGTTGATATTTTAAATACTTCGAATACTTTTCTTGGAGATTCTTGATAAACATCCTCACAGATTCTTTTTCAGTGGGCACCTCAATCATCTTAGCGGAAGTTTCCCTCCACTTATTGAAGAAAGAAGTAAAGCCTTCATTCTCTTTTTTTCTTAGCATTTCAAGTTGTATATAATTGGTTTCAACTTGAATGTTGCACTTGTTCCTATCAATGAAAGCGTTCACTATTGACTCCCAAATAGATGTTCTCTCTTTGTCAAGGGAGAAGAACCATTGTTGGCAAACGGTTTCAAGAGATAGAGAAAATATAGAGGGAAACACTTTCTTATCAATACCCTTAATACTCATTATTGTTTCAAAAGCTCTTAGATGAAAATAAGGGTTGTCAGTTGCCTTGAATTTCGGGATGTCGTTGGTATTGACCTTCTGAGGAAGAAGCTCCTTGTCCACCGAGACCCCTTTTGAACTAATTCCTTGAAACTTATAGTCATTAGAAAGTTTGCTCAAACTTTCTTGCATAAGGTCCATTTGTTGTTGCTTCACAAGGTCATCGATTTTGAGGGTTAAAGTCTTCAATGCCTCAGTCACGGTAGTCAATTGATTCCTAATTTCGTTGTCTTCTTCTTGAGTTGCCATTATCTTCTTAGATTTCCACTTTTGACAAATCGGTTTGTCGAAAAGTAAGACTTGAACAAAGGTGTTGTCCTTGATTAATCGCCTTCTCTCCTTGACCAAGTACTGTGGAAAGGGAAATTAGGGATATTTATTGTTAATTATTTTACTCAACTCTATTCAACATGCATATATGAAAGAAGGTAGGAAGAATGAAGGTTGTGATGTGGAGAAAACATGTAGAGAATGGAAAGATGATGTAGATGGAGAGATATGAAAAAATTAGGAATAGAATATACCCCCAACTCAAATGACGGAAAAAACCGACTCATGCATGAATCTAAGACATGGTCATGGTTTATATACATATTAGTGTGTGATAAGTCTAGTGATCTTAGATGACATGTTAAGACTCGTGTCATGACCATGTGGCTAGACTATTTGACTAGACTCGAACAAAGACTAAGTTAAGACCTCGCGTATATGCATTAAACTGGACATCCTGTGGTATTTTAGTCATAACTTTTTATATGTGACTCTGATTAGGATCAAACCAACGCCAAATTAAAGATAAAACTCGGAGCTACAGATCCATAGGTTATAAGACTCGTAAAACTTTATAGAACTCCAGATATGACCAAAACAAGTTGACACTTGTGCAGTATACGGGAATAAAAATCCAGGTTGACTTAAAGGGACTATAACTCGATTTTAGGTATATTTATTAGCTCTAATTAATTAATTAATTAAAAAAAGTCCTTTAGACATTAATTAGTTTATTTAGGCTTAATCACAATTCAAATAAGCGGTTAGGAAAAACACATAGAGTATGCACAAGCAAAGAATGCATAAGTAGTCAAGTAGGCACGATATGATGCAATAAGTTTGCAACCTAACCATGGCTCTAGTTCTCTACATTTCAGGATATGGGTTATTCAAAAGAGGGTCCATGGTTAATTGTCCGGATGCACTGTGCAGAAGCCTTACCGTGAAGGGTTGGCGCGAGTGGATGGGACGCCGCGAGTTAAGAATAACTCGCTTCCACGGTTTGGTGAGTTCATCATTCTCGGATGTACCCTTTGTTGCTAAGAGCGTTTAATCAGGTAGATGGAGAATGAATTTCAAGAGGGTTATGTCCATATGTAGAACACATATGGGTTTCAAAATAGTGAGAAAAACTCAATCAGGAAGTAGGATCGACCAAACATTGCTAAAAACTGGTCAAAATTAGAACGCATATTTCTGGCTTGATATTGGAAGAACTTGGCGCCAGCAAACAGAGGTCAGCAACAATTTGGCTTTAGCGCCTGGTGGCAGAAGCTGTTGCCTGGCGCTAAAGTTAAATAAATGGCGCTAGACTTTGTTTCTTGACGCTAGTTCCTACATGCCTCAGCAGCTTTCTGTGCTCGATAAGACTTTCTAGTTTTGCGCGGCATTATTTCGGTCCTAGTTGTGAAAGATATTCCTCAAATTTCCTACGTGTAAAAATCCTATGTTTTAACTCATTACGGATGGTCTTTTTAATGAGATCTTTTTTATGCATATGATAAAAATGTTAATCAAAATTACGCACATGAAATACTTAGAACTTTTCGAGACTCATCCACTCATTCTAAATCATTGCCGAAATAAATTTTGGGAATTAAAATAGAAATCCTCCCCAGTGGAGTCGCTAAAAACTGTAGGAAATATTTCAAGCATTACCCCTAGCTTGAACTCCACTGTGATAATACACTAAAGTACGGTGGCGTCCAAAGGGAAGGAAGCTAAAGCAAAAGAGTCGTCAAGGAGATCGTTAACTCCAATAGGTCTGGAAACATGACTTGTAGTTCGGGGATGAAGGTACAAATCCAGCCTAAAAGAGATTGAACCTTCCCTAATAATAGGCCTCTACTTTATTCTGATCATATTCATGTGCGCTTTCAGACTAACATGCAATCAATAGGTCTACCCTAAACCTGTTTATCTAAGTTGGTTGAATATTAATGCACAAATAAAACTATTATTGGCGATCACTTGAATTATAATCATATTAACCCTAAACGAGATTATTAATTATCTTATTAAGCGTGATTACTAGTAGGGCAGTACACCGGTCCAAAACCGGACCGGACCTGACCCGGACCTAAATGGACCGGGACCTGAATCCTTGATTTTTAAGGACCGGAGACCGGACCTGAATCAACCTGTCCGGTCCGGGTTTAGACCTGAATAGACCTGATTATTGTTTTTTTTTTCTTTTTTTTAAATAATATAAAATTGCTAACCTATTTAGACTTGTTTGGACTTGTTTAGACCTGTTTAGACCTATTTAGACCTGTTTGGACCTGTTATGTACCTATTTGGACCTATTCATGGACCTGTTTAGACTTATTAAATAAAAAAGAGTAGCTTTATCGGTTTCAGGTCCGGACTTGAAAATTCCGGGTTTTACCCGGACCGGACCTGATACCCCGAATCCTTGATGAATTTCAAGGACCGGGACCGGACCTGAATCTACAGGTCCGGTCCCAACAGGACCGGTTCAGGTCGGTTTTTAGGTCCGGGCCAGTTTTTGTAATCCCCTAATTACAAGTACAAATTCCCTTTAAACATGCATAAAAGGTGTGATCAAGCAATAACAATAAAATACCAATCAACATAATAATCATATATCATAACAATAATAATAATTATAATCATAATAATAATCATGATCATAAATTATAACAATTATAATCATAATCAAAATAATAAAATTAATCATAATTAACATGTTAAAGCATAATAATAACAGCAAGATCCTAGGCATGACACTAACAAGATTAATAACAAACCCTAGCATGTCACTAAACATCAAAGATCAAATCTTTAGCCCTAACATGAATATTAGTAAGAGAAATAAAAGGCATCATACTTGATATTAAAGTTACCCTAGACATGATACTAGGAAGATCAAAATGCCCTAACATAACACTAGGAATCATAATAACAATCTAAGCATGATTTCTACATCGTAATAACAATGTAAACCACTAAAGTACTTACTTGGATGCCTCGTACCTCTTTCTAATAACAAAATACAAACGTTAGTAACTTCAACGAAAATAAAAAATCAAACAACAATTAAATAACTGAAAAAGAGATTTGGGACCAAACCCTCAGAAATTAAAACCTTTGACGTCTAGGGCGAAAGAAACTTCAAATAATGCTAGGTGTATTTAGGTCTTGTGAGTGCAGAATTTTGTTTATAAAAGAGGGGTAGGTTTAGAAAAGAGAGAGAGAGAGAAACTTTTAGCTCATAGAGAGAAAGAATTAAAGAGAATAAGAATTGATGATTGTAGATGATTGAAAACGGAGTTTTTTGGAGGCTATTTATAGAGAAAATCAGCCAAAAAGATAGAAAATCGTACCAGAGTTCTGACGCAAAAAAACAGAGTTAGCGCTAGACGCTAACGCTAGCGCCAGGCGCCAAGCTTAGCGCCAGGCGCTAATGCTGGTGTTAGGCGCTAATCAGTTTTTTGACCCGTTTTCTAAAATCAAATAGAATTTAACTGTACAGGAGGATAAAATCGCATTTTCCTCAAAAACACTCTTTTATTCTGATTAAAATTCCAAAAAGTCAACAAAAGTCAATTTATCAATGCTAATTGAATTAGGAATGAAAAGAACCTTCTAGAAGAATCTAGAAGACTAAAACCATTCCTAATTGCATTAGGAATGATAAATCTATATTAGGCCCTCCCCTAGATCATTGGGCCGCATATAAGGCTCAAACCGGGCCCAGTTTAGTAATTTGGCCATAACTTCCTCAATATTCCTCGGAATGGGGCTTATAATATATCGTTGGAAAGCTCTTTTCAATCCCCATCCAACTACACTATTAATGGACCCATATCATGGACTAACCAAACTGGATTGGCTATTTTCTTAAAATAGATTTTCAAAAACAGAGAGAAAAGAAAGGAAATTAAAAATATCCGCAACACTAGACTTTCCACACTTTCGCTTCATTCAATCATGATTCGATGTGAAAGGTACTCATCACCGGGTTTAGTTTTGGGGAGACACAAATGGGTGTCTACAATACCGTTGGAGGCTCGTTATTTTCGGAGCTAAAGCTTTCAAGTAAGAGCCCATTAGGTCGGGCGAAGCGTGCGTCAAAGGTAAATTCCGATTCTATCCTTTTATGTTTATTTATGCTTTATGGTTTTATTAATTGCGAGTGGTTCTTTGGACCGGGGTATTTTCCGCGGTAAGTTGGACTTACCAACTCCAACACGGATATACATTGCTCACGTTCTTTCCGTCACTATCTTGAGTGATCGAGGAGAGCGTTTCACCATTGGGTTACTTATTTGCCTCAGTTATTTGGGGCAAGTAGGTAACCTGAGTTGGGCGGAGGTGTTATATGCCCGTATGATTACAACTATGGACATGGCGACCCGGGTGATGGATTCCGCGGCAGCTAGTGAGGTGCCTTGGATCTCCCTTACTTGGCATGGTCGTATCCTTGAGGTACGTTCTTTATGCTTCTTTTGATTATTATTTTTTGGTTTTTTCCTTTAGGCTTATCCTTTTTTGATTTCAGGCTTGGGGATACTCGTACCTACCCTTATTAGCCCCCATGATGCTTGGGGCTGCTCGTTTTCCTATCGGCCATCGATTGGTAACGATTAAAAAGAGACGAGATCTAAGTGACTTTCGCTGGAGGATCCTTTCGACGACTCATGCGTCGGTGAGTACTCTAACTAGATGTGCATCTTTTGATTTTATTTATTTTCTAATGATTTTTCACGTAGTTTTGTTTGTAGATCGATCTCCGTCCTTGGAGCTTGAACGTCGGAGTCCCTGAGGCTGTTTGGTCCGACATGATTCGTTGCCGTTTCCGGGCTCTTGATCAAGGACTTCCAGTCCTTTAGAGGACAGACGCTTGGTTTTTTAGGCGAGCGTGTTCTCTGGCAGTCTGCATTCAAGGAGCACGTGGTTCCCGTGGATCCTTCGATCCGGATGTTACAGTTGGACTTGCTGTCTACTGAGGATCAAGCTTAGGCGATCCTTGTTTATCTAGTGGAGCAGCTGGTGTTGCCGGATGCATCGTATCTGACTTTCATTACATCTAGGCTGACTCCTTTCCCAGCTTTTGTTCTGGTTTGTACTTTAACTCTCCTTTGTTATTTATGTTTATTTTTTCGGAACTTTGACCCTTTTATTTATTTTTCAGCGAGTTGAGCTAGGTGGTTCTGTGGATCCTACAGGGGAGATCACGTATACCGATGTTGTTGGGTCGGTAATTCGTGAAATCCTTCCAGCACCAGAGGATGATGAGGGGATACCGTTTGTTCCTGAGACGGTTGAGGCATTATGTTCCCTATGCATATGTGTTTATATATATTTTCATATACATTTTTGCTAACTGTCCTTGTCTTTTGGAACAGGTTCCGCGAGAGACCATGAACGGCACGATGAGGATTTTGCGCGCTTTCCGAGCTGCTTATCGGAGAGCTCTCCTCACTTTGTCATGCCATGATCATCGGATGGTCGTGGTAAGTTTATTATTTATTTTTTTTAACGAAGTTATCACATAGTTTTATGTATTAATCTTCGTTTTGATTTTGCAGGATGTGCAGCAACCGTTTGGGAGTCGCCGACCATCCTGACTTCCTTTTTACACTAATTTTTTTTTATATTAGGAAACAAATGTATATATTTTTTGTTGTACATATGACATGTTTTTGTATATATGTCATTTTCTTTTGTTTCCATGTGTACATTTTTTATTATTATGATTTTTTATTTATTACCATTTTTTCTCTTTTTTATTATTATAAAAAATTTGCAAAAATTTCCAAGCAATAATTTTCCAAGGGAGGAAAAGGTTCCTGACTTACTCCCCTTGAAAAAAATAACAAAAAGGATACAAGAGAATAGAAAAAAGAAAGGAAAAAAGGAAAAAGAAAAAGAAAGTAAAGAAAAATAAAAAAGAGAATGTGAAAAATAAGAAAATATTAAGGAAAAGGACACAATGGTTAGTAAAAGGTAAGAGTATGATTTGTCTTAAGATCTCGTTGAAAGGAATGGTGTCCTTCGAACAAGTGTATTATTCTGATAGCAGATTCAGAATTATTAGAAATCTAATATATTCAGTAAGGACAAGTGATCGGAATGCCTAAGTGGAAGTCGCTTCCGATCAGTAATATTAATGTATAATTAATATTATATTAATGTATAATTAATATTACAGCTTAATCTTGACTGCACCCTTCGGGTCACACAATAGTAAATATACGAACCGACTCGACGAATTAATTTGGAAGAAATTAATTCGTCGCCTGAGTGTTAAATATTTAGACGTCGGAAATTCGAGCTTAGGGCGTCGAAACCGAGCGTCGGAAGTCGAGTCAAAAATAGTAAAATACGAGACCAAAATACCCCTAACATCGGAATGCCCCGAGAAAACCGAGTGCTAGGGGCATTTGATATAGCATGGTGGCTAGTTTGCTTACCGAACCGAGCCTAGGTTGGCTGGTGCGTGCTAGGGCACCAATGCTAGCATCGCAAGGCTAGCAGCACTAGGGCAATGCGCGCAAGGAGCATCAGCTCTCTGCAGCAGCCCGCATCCTTGATGCGTGGCTCGCTGGCTGAGAGCACGAGCAGCCCGCACAAGCCGTGCTGGGCTTGTTGGCAAGCAGCGCTAGCAGCCCGCACGCTTGTGCTCGGCCTACTGGCAGCCGCGCATGGTAGCCCACCTTGGGTACCTTGGTGCCTAAGTGTGGTGCTATGTGGCGTGATCTTAGTGGAGCTTAAAAGGGTGTGTTGGCCAGTTTTTGGAGAGGGAGTGGGGAGCATGTTTGGTCCCCCCTCCTCCAAATGGTCCTCACCTAACCTCTCTCATGAGCTTGCCACTTGTTGATTTATTACTACTTTGATTATTTATTTTATTTTAGCTTTAAAATAAAATGGAAAAATCAAATTCTCCCACATTGATGGGAGAGCCTTTTCACTCTCTTGTTTTCTCTATAAATACCCAAGTTGGTGTATTGGAAAAGTCACTTGAGTGAGAGTTGAAAAAGGCATCACCATTGTGAAAACCTTTGAACTCATTTAATCACTCGGATTTTGGTCGAACCTTGCTAACTCCATGGTAGCGGACCTAAAAAGTTGGTGTTCGTTCTTTGTGGGTGGATACCGTTGGAGGCTCGGTATTTTCGGAGTTAAAGCTTTCAAGTAAGAGCCCATTAGGTCGGGCAAAGCACACATCAAAGGTAAATTCCGATTTTATCCTTTTATGTTTATTTGTTATACTTTATGGTTTTATTAATTGCGAGTGGTTCTTTGGGTTGGGGCGTTTCCGTAGTAAGTTGGACTTACCAAACCCCAACAGCGGTATCGGAGCTACGCTCGTTTATTTTTAAAATCATAATATTTTTCAAGGTGATTTTTATGGCATAATTTTTCTGGTTTAAGTTGCTAATTAGATTAGTAGCTCGTAGTATCTTTTTTAACCTCGTATTTAAGCTACCTTCAGCCTCGAACTCAGTTTTCGACCCAAAATTAGTGAATTTTGGGTGGAAAAGGCTTTCTGGAAATGGTTTTACCCTTCTAAGACTCGGTTTTTAGCCAAAAAACGGCCAGAAATGCACTTTTCGAGGGATTTTACATTTTGACGAAAAATTTTAAGTCTTTCTAACCTTGAAAATTAATTGCATATTTATGGTGGTTATGTAATTGGTTCAATACATATTTTATATGCAATTTTAAACCTCTTTAGGCATGATTAATTGGTATTAATTTGTGCTTGAATGCTTGGTTTTATTTTTTCACATAATTGCAAACTAATTGCATTAAGTGTGAAATTGTTGTTCTTTGAAGCTTCCAAGCATTAAAGATTAAATCTTTAATCATGTTAAGTGATTGAAACTTTATATTACTAAATTCCATGAATTTTTGTTAAACTTTGTTGATTTAATCATTTTTTAGTTGATTGGAATCATAAAGTTTGAAACTTTGTGATAGAAAAATTGTTTATGTTCATATTGGAAGATATAATTTTTCAAGGATTCACAAGTATTAAAATTGGTATCTTTATTGAATTTATGTTCATTTTTCCAACTCCCTCTTATTTTGTCAAAAACTCAAGGTTAATTTAAATTAATTAAATTAATAGTGAGTAATTGCCCTCTTATTTTTGTTGCACCAAGTTAAACCAATTTAATTAAGGAATGGTTCTTGAGAATTATTTTGGTTAGATGCACTTTGAAAATTTTATTTTAACTTAAACTTTTTTAAATTTTCATTTTTGCTCAATGAATTAATTCTAAAATTAATTTAGAATTGATTAGAGATGTCACACAAAATCAGGAATTAATCCCGAGGCACAAGCACGCAAACCAAGGCACAATAGCCATGTGCATCCCTCGTCCAGCTGGGCTGCTCGCACAGCCCGCATGTGGCTGCCGAGGGACGAGGCTGCTGCGCTTGGTGCGTGTTGTGCTAGGTGTGTGCGAGGAGTCGTGTGCTGACTTAGGGCATGAGGGGCGTGCAAGACGATGTAAGGCGTAGCAGCAGCTGGACGCGCATCGAGTGCACGCTACCAAGCAGTGCCCAGTAGCATTACGGCACGCAAGGCCGAGGCTGCTAGGAAAGCGCTCAGCACTTGCGTGCATGTGAGAGCTCAAGGGTGCTAGCCTTGGGTAGTCGAAGCACTTTTCTCTCGTTTTAATTTTGCTTTTTGGCCGTTTTGTTTATTTTATTTTATTTTAAGTAAAATTTTAATTATTTTAATTAAAATTTTGGAGGCTAGGCCTCGGATTTTGAGCGGCATTGGCAATATTTATTTTGACAAATTTTGGGATTTACCAGCTTAATTAATTTGATTAATTAAGTTGGATGCATAATTTAGTGTGAGCTTCAAATGTTAATTACGCTTATTTACATAACCAGTTAAAACAACTTTGACTAGTTTTAATTAGGCATGTTAATTGGATTAACCACCTAGATTAGTTACTACATCACGCGTGTTTATGACTTGTTACTTGTTTATCGTTGTAAAATGCATGGGCCATCGCCAAATAGTGAATGGAAGAATGGAATGTATATTCTCTCACAGGTTTTATGAAATGGCAACTAGTGGGGCCCGATTAGAATAGAAAATAGGGAAAACGATCCATGATGTATTTTTGTAAATCTAAATACGATCTGCCTACCGTTGAGTATTTTTTTATCTTAATATCTAGATTAGTCCTAATATTATATACTAGTTGTATAGGATAGCTCCCGCTGAACTATCGCC